CTTGAACTGTTCGTTTTGTTGCTGGAGGTTTCTTTGTGTAGCCAACTGTTGTAGTCTTGCGTTGTGCTAGAACAGTATATAAACAGATAGTACCATAATGTTTCAAAACAGGTCAATGAGAAGATTTCTATGGTTAGAGATGTCAGAAACAATAAAGATGTGAGGCTGCAGAAAAGAAAGGCAGATAGACTTGTATTATCATGAAGTTTATAAAGGAAGAAACGCCTTCTTATTCCAATATTACAGTTAGTATCATCCCTGTATCAATGTACTACTACTTTGACTGCCTGTAGGCTTGCTAAAAACAGCGCCTGATATCGGATAGTATTAAGGATGGAGATTTAATCACTGCATCAAAGAGAGATATCTTACTGGACTGTTCACTTGTAGCAGGAGTGACTTTGCTTTGTGGTGTTGCTTTTGATGGCACTTTCGTTGTTGGTTGTTCTACAGTTTCATCGTCACTTTCTGAGCTTGAATCATCTTCATCAGGTTGATTTTCTGCGGTGATAGTATCAATCAAATCTTTATCTTTGCAAGTATCTTTCAATTGATTAATGACTATTTGATGTTGTGACTTGTCACATGGTATTGTATAATGAAATTCAGTTTGTGTCTTGTCGCCTAATGTCTTGACAATTTTTACAGGATATTGGCCTTTGAGACCAGCTTTGTCTAGACGATTCTTGAGAAGTGTACCCAGTTTATTGCCCACATTGGTACATCGACTTTGTTTGCGAGCAAAACGTGTCGCATGACATGATTTGACTACCAAAACACCTTGTAGATTCTTATCATCTTGTGCTTTTACTGTATGGTCTTTGTCACAATCTACAGTTGATGGCTTGCTTGGCTTGACTATTTTACCAGATTTTGTAGTAGGTTTCGATGTCACAACAGCTGCAGATGTAGAAACTGCTGGCTTCTGAGTTGCTTCAGATTGGGTTGGTTTTTCTAGAGGTGCAATAGTGATCTTCTTTGCTGTGGCGGGTGTTGTTGCCAAAGTTTGACCTTTTTCAGCACTACCACTACTCTCATGGTCTTCTGAACTACTGCTGTCACTGTCGTCGTCGCCTTCGTGTTTGATTGATGCTGTTTCAATTGTTTTTTTCACCTAAATAAAGAATATGAAATGTGGGTCACTTATGATATCTTGATGGTCTATGCATTCAGTTCGTTACTCGATGTCTTGTTCATCTTACATATTGAAGATCTCTATAGCTCTAGAGTCAGAAATTACTTACTTCTTCATCTTTACAGAGTAATTTGAATGCTGCTCGTGCTCGTGTATGTTCTGGTTTTGGTATTTGAACAGTATATGCAAATACTGTGTGTGTACTATTTCCACTGAGCACTTTTACATTACATTTATAGTTGATGTTGGTATTATAGAGCTTTTGATAATAAGCACGAAGTTGTTTATCAAGAGTAGCAGAAAGTGCAGCAAGTCGTGTTGCATTGTTTTTGAATCGTTTTTCACATGGACAATCTTGAACAACAATTTTACCAGTGATAGTTTGATCATCTTCTGAGCGAACATTGTCGTCATCATCACAGTTTTTGACTTGAACTGTTCGTTTTGTTGCTGGAGGTTTCTTTGTGTAGCCAACT